TGCTTCTGAATTCCTGCTCAGATGTACTAAGTGTAGTTTTTATACCTGTTGAAATACTTCTCTACAATTTGATCATTCTAAAGGTAGTATATATATTCTTAAACAAAGAACAGGAATCCAAATACTTGTTAACTTAGAAAGACCATGGCAGCAAAACCCAACTTCTCACATGTTGCAAAATTTTATAGATAAATTAATAAAACAGCCAAATATTTGTAGAGATTCTGATTACAGTTGTATTAGGGATTATTAGCATTACAGCTATTGCAGCAATAGGAGGAGCCCTTCATCAGTCAGTTCAAATGACTCAATTTGTGCAAATGTAGCATGAATATTCTGATAGGTTATAGCAAACTCAACATTGTATAGATGAAAAATTGATGACTCAAATAGCAGACTTACAGCAAGCAGTGATATTATCGGGAGATCAATTAGTTCACAAGAACAGTTATGACTTAAGTGTGATTGGAATAGCTCTTCTTACTGTGTTTCTCCTCATAGCTATAATAGGAGAATGTAAAAAACATTTAATGAATCAAGGAAAGTTATCTTTTCTCTTTTTTTTTTGGTACCGGGAATTGAACTCATGACCTTGCACTTGCCAGGCAGACACTTACACCACTGAGCTCTATCCCTGGCCCAGGAAGTTATCTTCTGAGACTGGAAATTTACAAAAAGAAATATTTGAAGACATTTAGCAGCAAACTAGAATTACTACAAGGAACTTATTTGTTACAAGCTATAGATGAAGGAATAGAATATTTGAATCCTTTAAAACAATTACAATGTTTCCAAACATCTACCATCATTTTATGTGATGTTATAGTTGTTCTTTGCTTGATCCTTTTTATAGTCTGGTGATGCTCATCCAGAAAACACCATGAAACAGGAAGGCAAATTGCAGCCTTCTCTTTAGTACTGCAAAAGATTGCAGCAAAACAAAGAGGGAGAAATGTAGAGAAGGACGTTCTACAGTTTACCTTTCAGTGTATCACCTATATGGGCCTTTGAGCCTGACTGTTTCTGCAGGATGTCTAGCCAATGCATTAGTGTAAAAGGAAATGAAAGCAAGACCTTAGTGCCGTGGAAACCTGCTGGGACAGCACTAGATGCTTTGCTGTGATATGTCTGAAGGAATGATGACATGAGGTCAAAGTTCAAAGTCAAAGTTAAGTTCCTGTGATAACTAAACTGTACTCCCCTGGCTAATTCTGTTAATTATTCCTCCCACTTCCCCTGTTCCTGCTTTTTTATGAGAAATCCAATTAAAGGCTAAAAAAATTGTAACTGAGAATTCAGTCCTAGAGGCTGTTGACCCCGATCCCATAATTTTGTCTCTCCTGTTTTTCTTTTCAGCTGCTGCACCTCATTCTCGGGACATGTCCTCCCACACAGAAACCAACTTTTTCTGACAAGGAAATGACTACTTCTCAGACATGTCTCCATGTTAGCTGGCTTTTGGGTTTTAAGTCTGTTGCAAGATCCTACATTTTTAATTTATTGGGGATGAGACATTGCTCTCTAGTTGGCCTAGCCTTTGTTGTTTTGGCACTGGCCTCTAGTCCTGTTTATGACCCTTAAGTAATCTCCATCTGGGCATACTAGAAGAACAACTCATTCAACAATTATGTCACTTTGTCTAACGTAGTACAATCTGCAATAACAATATCATCAAATGTATCTTAAAAATGACAAACTGTGGTAACTTGATTTTCCAACTTTAACTGTATGAACTAAATTTGTGGTTATATATCAAAACCTAAAACAAACCAGAAAATTGTAAATAGTAAATATGCCCTTAGTATGGTAATATTACTATCAGGGGAGGAAATTTTAAATTGGTTTGGAATAAAAACAGAGAAATGTAAGTGGAGATCCTAGACGGAAGGCTGGAGAAAAATGAAACATTATACAAACTTTGGAAAAATAGTGAAGCAGACAGACGGAAAGAGAGAAGAGAGAAATATAAAGAAGAACAAAACAGATCAACAACAACCAAAAAACTGGAAATAATGTTCATACTCATATAAAAGCAACAATAAACAATCAAGAAAACAAAACAAATATGTAAACAAAAACAAAAGCAAGATAAGGAAAAATTATGAAATAAAGAAGGAAAAATGTTGACTTTAAGGACTTTCTGGTATCACTCCTTCACAAATTGGGCAGACAGAGCCCAGATACATGTTGATTAACCTCAGCAAGACAGTCATAGATTTACTTCAGAGTAGTGGTAATCCCAGCAAGAGTACACCTTTAGTTCCACTGAAGTTCAGGCTGATTTCTGGCTGTGGAACCTGATTTGTTCAGCCTGCAACACTCCGTGTTTCCCTTGCTGGACTGAATTTCACTCCCTCCTGCTTGAACTTGGCTTTAGACTGCTAATTTGAACTTGGTTCTGCCTTACCTTTACACAGAAAGCCCTAGATGGAGCATGCAGTTGCTCTGTGTCACTTGCCACTTCCTTCTTCCTCTTTGAAGTACCTCTTCACACTCTGCAAGGGCTTTAATTCTTGCTGATGATCCTCTCTGGCCCCCGAGGACCCAATTTCCTCCTTCTTCTCTTCTTCATCTTGCTATGTTCCTGAGCCTGGACACCAAATGTCAGAGAAGCTGTTTGTCTGCTGTTAACCACTGCACCATCTTCCTGGAAGTCTCAGGTATGGTTCTCTTTCATTCTCACTACTAGAAATGTGAACATTGGTAAGTTATGTGGTCTTACAAAATTCCATTGCCATTTACAATACTAAATTATTTTCAGTGTGCTCTGACAGTGATTTGCAATGCAAATTACAAGCATCATGTTCTTCCTTTTTTTATAGTACTCAAAATTTCTTTCAAGTTTTTGTTTTGAGTCTATTCCCACCCATTCATTAAAAGATGGTGCATCCAAGTGGTCTGAAGTTTAGGAAAGAACTAAGTTTCGGTTCTAAGTTCCTCAGAAAATTACAGTCTCATGAGACATTGGTATTCTCTTTCCAGGATTCCAAATGGCAGACCTTAGTATTTTTTGCTCTCATCTATGGGAATTTTCATCTGCCTCAAGGGGTCATGGGACAAAAGAACCTTTTCCAGATGTCCAACTGTCTCTTACGAGACAGTAACAAGAAAGTTTTAATTGGCTTTGATAAATACCTCAAGTGGGAAAAAGTTTTTGAAGTACCTTTGACTCTCCCAAAGGCTGCACTGTGATGGTGCATGTGGAGTGATAATTGTGTTCTCTGAGGAGGTGAGGTCACAGACTCACAAACACATATCTCAGGTCTGATTTCTTCTCCAACTCACACTGTGTTTCATAAAAGTCATCCATTAGCCAAGAGCCCTGGTAACTGGACAGCAGCAGATAAATGTGTCATATTTCAGTATCAGAGGCAGTCCAAAAGGTGAGAAGATGGATCAGTAGTTTGGGTAAGTGAACATACTGGGGAAAGTTGGGGATTTGAAATAGGTCCTGTGTCAATGACATGCAGGAAGGAAGTCTATGTTCTGAAGCATAAGCTGAGTCTAGAAATAGAGGAATTTCCCACATCTTTCCCCATCAAATTACTGAGTTTATTGATGAAATTTATAATCTGCATTGATACTGATGGTCAGTGCTTAACAGAAGGTATAATGAAGCCTGGATTTTAAGCATTTACAGAAAGTAGCTTCAAAACTAATGTTTTGACTAATTTACCTCACCTGAATAATTGACCACATTGTAAGGATTATGATATGTTTGCATATGACACTTCTATGCTTGTAAGTAGCAGAAGGATAGACCCACAGGAATCATATAGTCCACTGAAGAAGTGTTTCATATTAATCTCAGCAGCATGAATAGAAATGTTTCTTCTGGTCCTAGATACATGAAGCATATAATGGAGACGTAAATATGTTTTGCTGAAAACTTCTGGGGCTGCTGATAGTGTGAGGCTACTTTTTGTCTAGCAATCAGAAAAGCAGCACTTAAGAGAAGGTGTCTTATACTTGTGGGTTTCAGAGACATCTATCATGATTAGTGTATTTAGGAGATATGCCCAAAGAATCCTACACACTACTAGCTCTATTTATCTGATGCATATTTATTACTTTACAGTTTCTGTTGTACACGTCTTATTTTTCATTGTCATTCTCAAACCATCTCTTTTCACTTTGTTAAATCAGAGATTAAAAATAGATTACTAAGCAATTGCAATTCTGTGCTAGTTACTGCCTACACTACTTTATCATGTGTTTATATTTAAGTGAATATTGTTTATGTAGTAGTATTATACAGTTGAATATTTTCATGACAGCTTCATGCAGTTTGGATTCTGACATGAAACCAAATGAGGTTTTCTGTTTCTATTCTAATAGAAAAATAATCTTGGAATCCTTCAGCAATGTGTAGCATGGAATTTCAATTTATACCTCACATTTTCTGATGAAATCTAAACTTTTGTTCAAAATTGATTGATTTGTGGAAAACAGTTTTACAAATAAATGGATACATTTTACAACCAAAACTATGAAATAAAATATCACCCATCTAAAACAACATGAAAAGATACAATACATTACACTGAGCAGATAAGGAATTTTCAAAGAAAAAACTACTTCATGCTCTGGGATTAGCACTGTGTTTAAATGTAATATGATTTCATACTCCTGTCATCTCCAGGTCCCAACACAAGTAAATAACATGAGCATTTGTTAAATCACCTATTCTCTTCAGAAAATATCCTCAGCTTTACCATAAAAATAATTATAGTGGTTGCCCTATAGGTTTATGAAAAATAAAGAACATACCATACATTCCCTAACATGGGTTTATACACTATTATTCCACTTTTAGTTCCTACCTTTAATGCCAGAAACTTATAAGAATAAAACGTTCTTCTAAATAATTCTAAGTACACTATAACCTTAGATAGAGAATATTGGATTGCAATACATGTAATAAAAATAGCTCATGTTGCATGTTTCAATGCAGGAATTTCTGGCTCTGAAGACACATGTCCCATGCTGGATGTGGCAGAATGACCTCCAAAAATTTTCCAATGGCACTAGTCTGCTTATCTTACACTATCATTGGAATACTGGGGAATTTTTCTTTACTTTATCACTATATTTTTCTTTATGTCACCAAATGCAGAATAAGAGCCACAGATCAGATTATCAAGCACCTGGTTTTAGCTAATTCCTTGACCATTCTGTTTAGAGGAGTTCCTGAAACACTGGCAGCATTTGGTTTGAAAGATTTCCTCAGTGATGTTGGATGCAAACTTGTTTTCTATGTTCATAGAGTAGGCAGAGGCGTGTCCATTGGTAGCACCTGCTTCTTGAGTGTTTTGCAGGTGATTACAATCAGCCCTAGGAACTCCAAGTGGGCAGATATTAAGCTAACAGCCACCAAGTATGTAGGCATCTTTAATACCCTGTGTTGGACACTTCACATGCTGTTAAACATAGTTGTTCTTATGTATATGACTGACAACTGGAGTAATAAAAACAACACATACAAAAAAGAATATGGATACTGTTCTGGTATTCGTCAACAAAAAGCTAAGACAGTCCTATATGCAGCAATGCTGTCTGTCCCTGATGTTTTTTGTATGGGGCTCATGCTCTGGACCAGCAGCTCCTTGGTTTCCATCCTGTACAGGCACAAGCAAAGAATGCAGCATATTCATAAGACCAACATCACATATAGATCCTCCCTTGAGAACAGAGCTACTAGAACTATCATTCTGCTGGTCAGTACCTTTGTCTATTTTTATACCCTATCCTCCATTTTTCAAGCTTTTTTTATTCTCTATAATAATCCTATCAGGTTCCTACAAAACATGGCTGCGATACTCACTGGGCTTTACCCAACTATCAGCCCTTTCGTGCTCATGAAACATTATCCAAGAATATCCAGTCTATTGTTCCTTGCTTGTGTAAGCAAAAAAAAAATCCTGTAATGTTATGAGGAACATGTAACTTCCCTAATTTCATGAGAAACATGTGTTTTACATGATTTTGAAAAATACTTGGTTGTTTCCAAAGTAATTTCCTAAAATCATTGCAAACCTTATTATGCAACCATTCCGTTCCAAGGCTTGTTATGAAAATAAGTGGCTTCTGACAAATAATGCAAAATAAATATTAATAACAATTAATAATGGAATAATAGATAATGATTATGTAAGTAGTATTATTCTGCTTGTAAATGACAAGTTCTTACATCAATATTTAATTTTCCCCTGGTAGCAAATGATTTTTCCTTGGAAAGGAATTTTCTTTTGTTAAGACCATACTGCTGTTCAGTATTTGTTGAAAACCATGTTGTCTTTTGGCTTTAATATTTTGATCAACAATTTATTATACATTTGTCCATTCATGTAGGACTGGATAATGGTGGAGTTATACAAGAAATTATGTATATCATAAACAGTGAATTATTTAATCTGGGTAGTTGAGGTATGGTATTCATTATATTTTCTCCCTACTTTGTAAAGTTTTTAAGATTTATTTTATTAGAAGGGCAAAGTAAAATAAAGCAAAAATCTAAATATAAGAGAATAAACAACAGAAAAGTAGTGTGCTGCAGTGTAAACAATAGACTGTTCTTTGTTCCATAGTTAAGAATTAGTATTTTTTACCATACAGGCAAACTACTTTGTGCTTAAATTATTTGGACATTCTATTTCACTCATTCTCCCTTTCCTTCCTGCCCCAGGTAATAAGGATGCAATAGTCTCTTTCCACCTTTTCTTTTCTGGACTTTAGGAATTCCACAGCATTAAAATCTTGAGGTTATGTTTTGTTCCAAATCTTAAGAAGGCCTTAATTCCTCACACTTTCAATGGTTTCTTACATAAAGAGAAAGGTAAACTCCATGGGATGCAAACATTTTTGTGTTTTTCAATTCTCTAAATAAACAACATCAGTTCTAATCCACATTATCATTTTAGTAATAGCAGTAAAACAGAAAAAGTTGAATGATGATGGAAGTTTGTCTGTTTGTTTGTGTCTGTTTGTTTCTCTCTGGCAATAGTGTAATTTCCTGAGTGTATCATCACAATAATTCTTCCCTCAGAGGCAAAGAAGTGTCAGGTTTGATTGCAGTATATATTGAAAGACTCCAGTTTCCTTTCTGGAGCTAGGTAATCCATGACACAAATCTGTTAGTGCAAGCACTATTCTGGGCCTCTTGCATTGTCCCTTTGGGTGTTGGAGAAAAGAAGGAACTACACAAAAGTAGGGAATCTTCAAATTATTGCTCATAGGTGTGAAATAAATAATGAAGCCTTTTTTGTCAAATCTATGAGTCTTATGGCTTTTTTGAGGATGCTTGAAACTTTCAGGCAAACATTTTGAGTTTCAAATAGTGTGCAATTTATGACACTTCACATTTCCTGATAGTTTTAGTGACCAGGATGGGATGAAGAGATAAAGATGAATTTCTGAAAAGGGAAGGAGAAGGACTCTTTCTGGCCTTTCATAGGGTTGAGGAGAAGACCTAGGGACAAGAGAAAAGTGTCTGTTCCTGCTAAATAAAATACAAAAATTATATATTAATTATACAAAAAGTATATATTAATTATAGATGAAAGATTTATTCCTTCCAAATTCTTCCTATGAGATTTTTGCTAATTGACTTACAAATAATTCTCACTAGTCTTTTTATAATTACAAACTTCTAAAATTGTAAGAGACTCTCAGGTCGTCGGCGGTGGCTGCAGCTGCCACTATTCACGGGGCGAACTTGGCAGAGCAGGGAGGCACAGAAGGGCAGGGGTGTGTAAGGACGGCCGCGGGTGTATTTGGCGGCGGGAAGGAAGACCTCGAAACTTGTTCCTCCTACTTGGGGATTGTAATTTTTTTTCCGGTGACGGATTCCGGAAATACTCGGCGTCTCCGTTTTCGAGATTTTCTGGCTCTTGTCGGTTGATTTCGTAGCTTGAAATGCATGGTCATGGAGGCTATGACTCTGATTTTAGTGATGATGAACGTGAAGAGTCGAGCAAAAAGAAAAAACGGAAAATTGAAGATGATTTATTACTACAAAAGCCATTTCAAAAAGAAAAGCAGGGAAAGGTGGCTAGTAAGCAAGTTGCAGCAGAACTGCTGGATAGGGAAGAAGCAAGAAATAGAAGGTTTCATCTCATAGCTATGGATGCTTATCAAAGGCATACAAAGTTTGTAAATGACTATATTTTATACTATGGGGGCAAAAAAGAAGACTTCAGGCGTTTGGGGGAAAATGACAAGACAGACTTAGATGTTATACGAGAAAATCATAGATTCCTACGGAACGAAGAGGATGAAATGGAGATGACTTGGGAGAAGAGACTTGCAAAGAAATACTATGATAAATTATTCAAGGAATATTGCATAGCAGATCTCAGTAAATACAAAGAAAATAAGTTTGGATTTAGGTGGCGAGTAGAAAAAGAAGTAATTTCAGGAAAAGGTCAGTTTTTTTGTGGAAATAAATGCGATGCAAAAGAAGGCTTAAAGAGTTGGGAAGTTAATTTTGGTTATTTTGAGCATGGTGAAAAGAGAAATGCACTTGTTAAATTAAGGTTATGCCAAGAATGTTCCTTTAAATTAAATTTCCACCATAGGAGAAAAGAAATCAAGTCTAGCAAAAGGAAGGCCAAAACCAAAAAAGGCTATGAAGAGTCATCAGACAGAAAATCCAGGTTGTCTCCAGAAGAAGCTTCTAAGAAGAAAGATAAAGGACATGCATCCTCAAAGAAACCAGAAGATTCTATAAACAAAAACTGTGATGAGGAAGAAAGTCCTTCAGAGTCTGAGCTGTGGAAGGGTCCACTACCAGAAACAGATGAAAAATCACAGGAAGAAGAATTTGATGAATATTTTCAGGATTTGTTTCTATGAGACAGGAGAGAAAAACCTGCATTCCTTAATGTGAAAGCTCACTTTTAAATTTCATAAAACTGTTATCTACAAATTGCAAACTTGAATGGTTTGTCTTTGGGAATAAAAATATAGCCACTCTGAGGATGTCACATGCTTCCAAAGTTAATTAGTTATTAGAGATACATTTTTCTGTTTCTTATGTATCTTTTCAATTCCTTATCTACAAGTGTTTCATCTCTTCAATATATAGTATAATATTTTCAATGACATTTAAACATGGGATGGTTGGCATAATAAAGTACAAAATAAGTAAAAAAAAATAAATAAATAAAAAATAAAATTGTAAGAGAGTTACTACAATTCAATTTGGTCAAAAAATATATTTGAGTGCAATCTGATTTTGTAAGATGTTTGTCTCTTTGTCCAATCTGTGAAGCAATGTACTCATTTGTTTTTCCATTTGTCCAATCAGTTAACAGCTGTTTTTTAGTTGAGTTCAACTAATTTTTCTTTTTTCCTTTTCTCTTTTGCAGTTTTGGATCATATGTTCAAAATTTAATTTTCTTCAAAGATTTAAAAAGCATGCTTCCCCCCGGGTTGCCAGGTGGTCAAAATGATATCAAGTTTGGTTTTCCCATAAGTCATCAAAAATAGTTAAGATAGTTAAACAAAAATTCCTTCTGTTGGGGAAACATTATTGAATAGGACTCTAGTTGATGAATAAGAAGGCAGATGCCTGGATATATTTGTTGAATTCTTGTTCATTAATAGGAAGACACAATGATCTCTATTACCTATGGGAGATACCCCAAAATATATTATTAAAATACATTATTGTACTATGTTTCCATTAGTCATCATCAAAACATTAAGTTTTCTAGGCAGTAAGGTCTTTGATTTAAAGATGTTCTGGTACAAAAGTTTTCATATGGCTATGACTATTAATTGTTACTAACCTCATTTTTTATTAAATGAATTCATGTCTTCAGATGTACAGGTCTCCCAAAATATAAATGAAGGATTATTTATGGTGACAGAATTTTCTTTCAGATTTAGACCTTTGCCTCTAACAAAAAACTTAGAAGATGTATGTACCATTAAAAATCAACAAGTTAGGGGCTGGGGATTTAGCTCAGTGGCAAAAGCACCTGCCTGGCAAGCACAAGGTCGTGAGTTCGGTTCCTGGTACCGGAGAAAAACCCAAAAAAAAAAAAAATCAACAAGTTAGGTAAATCTTATGTACTGAATAAGAATGATTGACTAAGAGGGATATTTTATGTCAAAATGAAAATTGAGATGTGTTGCAAAAATATCAGCATGACTGTCATGTTATGATATTATATAAGCTTTTGATTTCTGATTTTCTGTGTAAAATATACTATTTTCTGTGAACATTCTAGAGAGATTCAAATATAAGAACATCATAGTTGGTAGAAAATAACAGTTCCATTTTGTATAATATTAAGCTCACTGTTTCCAATACACTGTAATATCATTAACCTTCTCTTCTGGATGTTCAGCATCTGAAGTTTGGACACCAAAAACTAGAAAGATAGATGGGTGAGGAGGAAAGCCAGTATTGTGGCCCCCACCCTCTGAAGTCAATGAGGAATGAAGATATAAGAGAACCTTTACTGCAACATCCTAGAACTCAGTGGGCCCCCAATCTTCTGGCCAAGCAGACTGTTAGACAGAAGAAAGTTATCAGGAACATATAATGTGCCTAAGGACAGTCACCAGGGGAGAAAAATCTTCCCAGTTTTCACAGAAAGCAGCTTGGTCAAGCAATGGCTGTGGCTCATCAAGATTGTTGACACTGGCAGAAGTACTAAAAGATGCTGTGCATGGTTCTAAGATAATTCCTGAGGAGACTTAACAATCCTTAGATAACAAAGAATTAATTGTAATTAATACAGGTCTTACTTTCACTTGGTCTTGAACATCCTACGGAAAAGTATAACTATAAGAGATATGGAACAATGCCATAGTAATATGCTAGGTGTAAAAGAATTCAAATCACTTTCTGACAATTTCAGTAACCAGCTACAAAAGTGATTGCCCACCTTTATGGATTAATGGAGTGTATAGGATTACATTGCTGTATTTAGGGACTTTAAATCCTTCAACTGAAAATCTTTAGCCTAAACAAGTAAGTTCACTCAGAATAAAAAGTGTTCAAGAATGAAAAGGTCTTCTTCAAAGTCCTCCAAATGCAGCTTCTCCAACTTCAACTAACCACCCATTGCTTGCAACTACAAAACAGAAAAGAGGGAGATGTTGAGAGTGACTTAAGCTGGAAATCAATTACATGTGCAGGGCTGGAGCACGGCCAGTTCTGAGAACAAAATGCAAGATTCCCTGAGGCTGCCATACAAAAGGATTTCTAGGCAGAAGCATGACATCTAACATCAACCTGCCAAATGTATAAATCAAATGCGGTGGTGGCTGAACAGTTCCTTTCCTCCTATCTGGATAGAGAGCTCCACTTGAACTCAGCTTTCTATATTCTGACTCTTACCTTTATTTCTCCATCCTCCCACTATCCTTTCCACTTGGAACTTTGAGAGATGCACTGGGCATGGCAAGAAGACAGTCAGGGATCTCTAGGTTTTTAAGTACATTACATAGTGCTGAGGTATTTAGGCCAAGGTCTGTCAGTCATCTAGGAGATATGCACTAGGCACTGCTCTGTTGCTCTTTGACTCTAAACAGTATAAATATCTTAGAAAATCTATCCAGATTTTATAGTTATAAATCACCTTACTGTAAGTTTCAATCTCAGCTCTTATGGTCTTTATCCTGCCCCTATTACTACCCTGATATTACATGTAGTTTCATCTCTAAGCTACATTCACTCATCACTCTCACTGACCATCTCAGTTGAGCCTGAGATTGGTGAGCCCTGTAGTCAAGTCGGTTAGCATCTGCCCCCAACCGGCACTCTGCTCCTTGCATTTTGTGGAAGCAGCTAGAAAGCTTTCAGGTTTACTCTCCTTGATTAATTTAACTCAGGATAATTATAGTTCTCCAGATTTTATCCTTCCTCAATCCATTTCTTGATTAGTATGGATTCAGGTTGGCAGAACTTCCCAATTTCTTATTAAACAATGAAATAGAAAAATATATTTTGTTCTCTGAATGCTATGAAGACAACAATATGCAATGCATTAATTATATTATTTTCCTACTAACCTGTTTTGAAACTCTGTTTTATTATTTTAATTTTTTTCTCTTTAAAATAAAAAGAAATAAAAAAGAAAAATAAAACACTTTCCAAATTTATGAAAAATCTACATGATCACATTTGAACATTCCTAATTTTGGGGGCCTTTTTCTCAGATGAGAATATGATGTAATGCTCTCATCTCATCCCCTCTCCATATGCATATGAATGTGTGTGTGTATGCATGTGCACATGTCTATATTTATTATATCTAGGACAACAAATCCATTCAGGATATCGATACAAAGCTAAATAAAGATCAATATCTCTCATCATCATGCATGTAAACTGTAAGAAGAACCTAAACAAGCCAACTGTAGAAACTTTCAAATTTCATCATTTGACTACAATAGATTCTGCAATATGAGTTTTATGCATCAGCCACACTGCAACTCTTGTGAGGGTGAAACCACACAATGCCTGTCAACAGTTACAGAACTAACATTTTAGAACACTCATAAAGCACCCATTTTGTGACAGTATTAGTTAAGTAGGAGGTAGTAGGGGACACCTTGAAAACTCAAAGTAATGTAGAGATGCTTAAAGCACATCTCCGAAGAACAGAAATTTACAATGAAAAGGCACACAGATGTTGAAATAAAATTTGAATTATCCTCAAAGAAAATAAAATTTTTCTCTACTCTTTCAGTGATTCTCAGTATCTTTAAGGACACATGGTTTTGCAGAACCATGAAAAGCCATACACCTTCATAGTGATTATATAGTGTGCTATAGTACCACTTGGGATGACCCAGTTCACCTTTCATTACTCCTCTTGCCCAATTATCACTAGAAGATGTTTGGTGAGGTGGTTGAAGTGCCCTCCATACAGACCATGGGTTACAATATAACAGCACTTTAAACCTAGTTAGGTTTAAAAGTTATCAAGTGTACAGTTTCAATGGGTCCACTCATGGTATGTAAAATTTCATTAAATTCACTAGCAAATGTATTAAAACTGACAGATAAATCTGAAATATGCCTAAAGATATGAAATAAGGCAGAGATTCCATCCATGACATGCTCGTTGAAGTGTACAAATTCTTGTAACTTCTTAGCTAAGGGAAGATTTGGCTGCCATCAAATGGACTAAATTGCATCATGCCTGTAAAAAGAGGTCAAGGAAATCATGGGGAAGATACAAAAAATGAAGTATACAATCACTTAAAGTAAGTATAGAATCATTTAAAGGACTATTTTATTGTCCTAAAATAGGACAATAGTATTTCATCATATAACTAGTAAAAAATTGAACAAAAAATTCTGAGATCAATGATCACATTATTTTATTTCATTTTTACTTCAAGAAATTAAAATATACATACCTAAAAAAGGAGTTTTAGACTATAATAAAAATATAAATGGAGACTGTCCTGTTAAATAAATGTAGAAAATGTATGTTGAACCCAAATCATATTTTTTTAGTTTAAAATATTTTATTTTAAATGTTTCATTTATTCAGATAGAAAATATATTATTTTGTTACATTTATTTATGCATATTAATTGTGCAAATTAATATGTTTCTCTGTAACCAGCCCAGAAATACATAAATACACGTATTGTGCCTTGATCATGTCAACATTTCCTTGTAGCTTCTATTTATTTTTCCTGTCTCCTTTGGTTTTTTATTATTATTTTTGAGATTTGTGTATTATTTATTTATTTATTTTAATTAATTTTATTGGTATATTTTAGATACAGATCATGATCACATTCATCATAGGGAAATTGCATATGTACATAATACATCATGTTTCATCTATTTTTCCCATTCCTTTACCTTCCCTTCAACCCTTCTCCTCACTTACCAAAGCTTTGCTTCCATTTTCCCTTCTATTCTTTGTTCTGTCCCTTCTGTTCTCTCCCTCTCCCTTATTGTCTTTCTCATTTGAACATTTTCTTCTCATTTTCCAGTATCTGTTAT